ACGCCTTGTGGTGGTCCTTGAAAAAATATTCTTTAAAAAATCCACGCCTTGTGGTGGTCCTTGAAAAAATATTGTTTAAAGAATCCACGCCTTGTGGTGGTCCTTGAAAAAATATTTTTTAAAAAATCCACGCCTATTGTAGTCTTTGAAAAAATATCCTCGAAAAATCCACGCCTTGTGGTGTTCCTTGAAAAAATATTGTTTAAAGAATCCACGCCTTGTATTGGTCCTTGAAAATATATTGTTTAAAAAATCCACGCCTATTGTAGTCCTTAAAAAAATATTCTTTAAAAAATCCACGACTTATGGATAGATCCTTGAAAGAATATTCTTTAAAAGATTCTCTTCGTATGGACCCCTGAAAAATATCCTTAAAAAAATAATTAAAACCCCCGTTTTCCTTTTTCAATTAACTTCGCCGCAAAGCTTTATTTATAAATGCTGCAACTTTCAATTTGGCCACATTCATTTCCACCGAGTCTTGGAGGTTTATTGAACCCAAATCCTCCACATGACCATAGCCTAGTCGGTTTCAATAGCAACAGCAAATACCGCAACAACAACACATAACAGGAAATTTTTAATTAAAACCCAAACATATCAAAGAAAAGTTTCTCCTTACCATCCAAGAGCAAGACATTACGACCACCATGTTGCATGCCCACCGCACGCCAAGGATCCAGAAGGCCATGGGTGAATATCACATTTTGTGAAACATTGGTGAGACCACCGAACATGTGGTTAGTTCTTTGGGCACGGCTATAAAGTTCTTGAAGTGTAAGGCCATTCGTGGCATCGCTTTCCATGTTCGCCGGTTTTGGTGGTGTTGTTGTTCGAGTTCCTTTCCTTTCCGGCTCGAATACATGCTGGCATAAATTTTGGAAAAACTTTAAGGAAACTTGGCCACCAAATACATTTCGCCTAACATCCGAGGGTGTTGTTGTTGTTGGCTGGGTGGTTGCAAACCAGCCAAATTCATTGCATGTTTGATAAAACCAACAGCGATCTAAATTGATGCACACGAAGAGAAGTCGGGGCGTGGTGGATAAATATCCAGCAAAAAACAAAAGTTTTCAATTAAAAATTGCATATTTAAGACAAGCGCATGACTTACTTCCATTCGAAATATCATCATATTCGGAAAACAACAACTTCATGCCCTCAAAGGAGAGATCCAAACACCATACTTGGCCATGGCCTTTAGAGCTGTGGTCCTCACCTTGCGAGTGGGGTAAAAATACATCTTTGATATGTTCTACCAAGGCATGAAGGGGTTTGGTGTCATCATTCGTAAATTTCTTGCAAAACTGGGTCACAAGTTTCCTAAGAATGAATAAATTTTAGTTATTTTATAAATTTGCGAATACCTTTCATACTTACCCTGATGTCTGAGCCATGCCAGCGAAATAATTACCCAAGGCATTAAAAAAGGCGGAAATATCCAATTCATTGTTCGCATCAAAATCAAAACACATTTGTAAATTTTGTAATAGATCTTGGGATGCAGGGGAGCTTAGAATGTGGCGCAGATCCTCAAATCCTTTTTCTATTTTTTCTGCACATTCCGAGTCACCTTTTTGTTTTATGGCATCCATTGTTAGGGTCATAAATTCTGAAAAGAAAAATCCGAATACTTCAGAAAATGTTTAAAAAATCCACGCCTTAAAATAGTCCTGTGTGGATGCTTTAAAAAATTGTTTAAAAAATCCACGCCTTAAAATAGTCCTGTGTGGATGCTTTAAAAAATTGTTTAAAAAACTGTTTAAAAAATCCACGCCTTAAAATAGTCCAGTGTGGATGCTTTAAAAAATTGTTTAAAAAATCCACGCCTTAAAATAGTCCTGTGTGGATGCTTTAAAAAATTGTTTAAAAAATCCACGCCTTAAAATAGACCTGTGTGGATGCTTTAAAAAATTTTTTAAAAAATCCACGCCTTAAAATAATCCTGTGTGGATGCTTTAAAAATATTTTTAAAAAATCCACGCCTTAAAATAGTCCTGTGTGGATCCTTTAAAAAATATTTTTAAAAAATCCACGCCTTAAAATAGTCCTGTGTGGATCCTTTAAAAAATCCACGCCTTAAAATAGTCCTCTTTATAAAAAAAAATCCACGCCTTAAAATAGTCCTGTGTGGATCCTTTAAAAAATATTTTTAAAAAATCCACGCCTTAAAATAGTCCTGTGTGGATCCTTTAAAAAATATTTTTAAAAAATCCACGCCTTAAAATAGTCCTTTTTAAAAAAATCCACGCCTTAAAATAGTCCTTTTTAAAAAATCCACGCCTTTAAATAGTCCTGTGTGGATCCTTAAAAAAATCCACGCCTTGTATGGATGATTTAAAAAAAATTTAAAAAAATTTTTTGCTTTGTATGGATGCTTTAAAAAAATTGTTAAAAAAATCCAGGCCTTGTATGGATGGTTTAAAAAATCCACGCCTTGTATGGATGCTTTAAATTTTTTTAAAAAAATTCAGGCCTTGTATGGATGTTTTAAAAAAATTGTTTAAAAAATCCAAATCCTTTAGAAATAGTTTTTAAAAAATCCATGGGTTCCTATATTTACCATGAAAATCCATTTTAGCCAGTAAAGGTGCACTGGACGCCCAAGCCACATCTGCCTCTTGCGGATAGAGGTTCATGAACCATGCCACCATGCTGCCGGAATAAGAAGCCCCTAGAAGAACAACTTTGGCAGAGCTCAATCCCCTTTGAGACGATTTTTGAAATTTTATAAAATGTCTTAAATCCTCCAAAGCTTGAAGGACATTTAAGTACTGCAGGGCATCCAAAGAAGCGGAACTATACAAACGACAATGAATTATTAGAATAAACTAATGGGAGTTAATTCTCACCTCTTGGGCCAACTTTTGCCATAAAAACGATGTTCGGTATAGAACATTATGGCATTGTGTTGCCTTGCCATATCATAAAAATGTCCTTGGCTCAATAGGTAAGGTTGAATTTCCCATTCTCCACCAAACACAATGAACATGGGACCACCCGGCTCATAGAATTCCGCGTTGACATAATAACGCTAAGTTGCGAAATTAATAAAAATTACGAAAATTTTGAATTTGAAAAAAAAAATCGTATTTACCATTAGCCACTGCTGATGACCACTACTCTGATTGCCGAATTTTTCATCCTCCACAAAATGATCCAGTTTTTGTGGTAGCCACAATTCTTGCACCATGTCCTCAGCATAATGGCTACGATTATCACTTCTCTCCTCACCAAACAACCACCAGCGATGCTTTAACTGCATTTGGGAAATTGCCACATATGGATTTATGCGCTGAACATTCACACCCAGTACCCAGGTATTTTGCCAACAGATTAACAATTGTTGTTGCACCACAAATAACAGCAACACCAGCTGGTGAAACTTCGTAAGCGTAATTATGATGCGAAGCTTAATCATTTCCACCAAAGAGTACATAAATTATTTGCCATGTCTGGCACTTTTATGCAGAAATTATTATTAAGCGGAAATTAGTGGAATGTGCGGATCGAACACATATGCGGGTGGGTTGGAAAACCCGCATTAATAGCATTGGGGATGTGGTATTGACATTCATTTACATCTGTGGCAAAATTTTTTTCAATTATTGAAAGTGAAATGCATTCGGTTTCATCTGAGGTCGGTAAAAGTGGGTCGGAAAAATAAAAGTGGGTCAAGAAAGGAGGTAGAAATATCGCATTGTACCAAATGAAAGATCGCCATAAGGCATTGATTTTTATACCCTTCACCACACTGTGGTACAGGGTAGGGGAGACTGGGGTACCTTCGGCACTTTTTGTTTAGAGCTCTATATCTCATATATCTGAGTCGATTTATGCATGTCCGTCCGTCCATGTATTTTTATTAACAAAGTACAGATCGCTTGGGAAAAATCGGTTCAGATATAGCTCCCATATATAGTTTCGTCCAATTTTATGTAAATGGTGCACCAAACTCCGAATATTGGTCCGATATAGACAAAACTTTGCACAGAGTACTGAATTAGGTCCGGTTTGATGCATGCCAAGTTTTGTTGGAATCGGTTCAGATTTAGATATAGCTCCCATATATAGTTTCGTCCGATTTTATGTAAATGGTGCACCAAACTCCGAATATTGGTCCGATATAGACAAAATTTTGCACAGAGTACTGAATTAGGCCCAGATTGATATATGCGAAGTATTATTGAAATCGGTCCAGATTTAGATATAGCTCCCATATATAGTTTCGTCCGATTTTATGTAAATGGTGCACCAAACTCCGAATATTGGTCCGATCTGGACAAAATTTTGCACAGAGTACTGAATTAGGTCCGGTTTGATGCATGCCAAGTTTTGTTGGAATCGGTTCAGATTTAGATATAGCTCCCATATATAGTTTCGTCCGATTTTATGTAAATGGTGCACCAAACTCCGAATATTGGTCCGATATAGACAAAATTTTGCACAGAGTACTGAATTAGGCCCAGATTGATATATGCGAAGTATTATTGAAATCGGTCCAGATTTAAATATAGCTCCCATATATAGTTTCGTCCGATTTTATGTAAATGGTGCACCAAACTCCGAATATTGGTCCGATCTGGACAAAATTTTGCACAGAGTACTGATTAGGTCCAGATTGATGTATGCCAAGTTTTGTTGGAGTCGGTCCAGGTTTAGATATAACTCCCAGATATAGTTTCGTCCGATTTTATGTAAATGGAGCACCATACTATCAATATTAGTCCAATTGAGACAAAATGTTGTACAGAGTACTGAATTAGGTATAGATTGATGTATGCCAAGTTTTGTTCAAAAATCAGTTCAGATTTTTATATAGCTCCAATATATAGTTTCATCCGATTTTATGTAAATGATGCACCAAACTCCGGATATTGGTCCGATCTAGACAAAATTTGGCACATAATACTGGCTAGATCCAGATAGATGTATGCCAAGTTTTGTTGGAATCGGTCCAGATTTAGATATAGCTCCCATATATAGTTTCGTCTGATTTTGTGTAAAGGGTGTACCTAACTCTCAATATTGGTCCGATCTAGACAACATTTTTCACAGCGTACCGAATTCAGTCCAGTTTGACATCTCGGATGTTTTTGTTAAAATCAGCCCAGATTTCTATATAGCTCCCATATTAAATTTGCCGAATTTCATACAAATATTACACCAAAAATGTAAGTCTTCCCGATTGACATGCATTTTTTGATAGATTTCAGAATATTATGTGTGTTGTTTTTTATTGGTTCTAATATCTATGTAGGTTGCGGATAATACACACATTATCATATCTTGTATGTACACAATGTGGTGAAGGGTATCATATAGTCGGCCCCGTCCAACTTTTGAACTTTCCTTACTGGTTTTAAATACTTTTTTGAGGTCTATTAATAAGCGTAGGGTTTTTAAAATATTTATAAATATTATTTAAAAATATTATTTAGGGTAATTATAGGCGTGGGTCGAGGTTAATCGAGGTTAATTATAGGCGTGGGTTTTTAAAAAAATCGAGAGTAAATATAGGCGTGGATTTAAAAAAAATAGAGGTTAATTATAGGCCTTGACTTAAAAAAAAAACGAGGTTAATTATAGGCGTGGGTTTTTTATAAAAATTACGAGGGTAATTATAGGCGTGGGTTTTTAAAAAAATTCGAGGGTTTTTAAAAAAAAATCGAGGGTAATTATAGGCGTGGGTTTAAAAAAAAACGAGGGTAATTATAGGCGTTTGTTTAAAAAAAAATTTTTCGAGGGTAATTTTAGGCGTGGATTTAAAAAAAAAATCGAGGGTAAGTATAGGCGTGGGTTTAAAAAAAAATTCGAGGGTAAATATAGGCGTGGGTTTTTAAAAAAATTCGAGGGTAATTATAGCCGTGGGTTTTTAAAAAAAATTCGAGGGTAATTATAAGCGTGGATTTAAAAAAAAATCGAGGTTAATTATAGGCATGGGTTTAAAAAAAATCATAGGGTAATTATAGGCGTGGATTAAAAAAAATCGAGGATAATTATAGCCGTGGGTTTTTAAAAAAAATTTCGAGGGTAATTATAAGCGTGGGGTTTAAAAAAAAATCGAGGGTAATTATAGGCGTCGGTTTTTTAAAAAAAATTGAGGGTAATTATAGGCGTGAGTTTTTTAATGTGTACGAACGTACACATGTTTTATTTCGGAAGTGGAAGCTGCTGGTTCAATATGAAAAATTTCATTGCAGAAAAAAAAATGTACAGTAAAAACTCGCTAATCCGGATAATTGATTGCAGACCCCAATCCGGATTACCGAGATTTCCGGATTATCGAGTTTTATTAATTGGTTTAAATTTATATTAATTTGGTGATAATTTAATTATTTTTATCTTTTTATTAAAAATGAAAATTATTCATTTCAAAAATATGAACTTTGAATATAATAGGTACCATTTTCAATTAAATTTGCAACGATTTTTTTTATTAAAATAAAAAGTAACGTATCTTTACAATCCGGATTTTTGAGTCAAATAGGTCAATCAATCCGGATTATAGGATACGCAATGGGTTGTGTAAATGCAGTCCGGGGATATTACCGAATTACATCCGAACTTTTGATTGTCATTATATGAGGTGCTATGCCTAATTGAGTATTAGTTATCAAGAAACTAAAATTTTTTATACTTCCTGTATATGTAACACACATCATTCTAGACCTAATTCATTACGCTGTGCCAAATGTCGTGCAAATCGAGAGATATATAGGGACTTTAGTGCACCATTTACATTAAATCGGATGAAAATATATATGGGAGCTATATCTAAATCTGAACCGATTTTCAGGAAATTTAGCAAACATTATTCTAGACTTACTCGAGTACGCTGTGCCAAATTTCGTGCAAATCCATGTATATATAGGTACTTTGGTGCACCATTTACATAAAATCGGACGAAAATATATATGAGAGCTATATCTAAATCTGAACCGATTTTCACGAAACTTAGCACTAGACTTATTTCCGTACGCTGTGCCAAATTTCGTGCAAATGAAGAGATATATAAGAACTTTTGTGCACCATTTACATAAAATCGGACAAACCTATATATGGGACCTATATCTAAATCTGAACCAATTTTCACGAAAATTAGCACACATCATTCTAGACTTAATCGAGAACTCAATGCCAAATTTCGTGCAAATCCAAGGATATATAGGGACTTTGGTGCACCATTCACATAAAATCGGACGAAACTATATATGGGAGCTATATCTAAATTTGAACCGAATTTTCCCAATTTCAATAGGGTTCGTCCTTGGACCATGGACGGATGAAAGTTGACCTATGCCTACTTTCATCCAAATCGGATCACAAGTGCGACCTGTACTTTGTTTACAATTTAACATGGACAGACAGACGGACGGACAGACAGACGGATGGACGGACGGAGGGACGGACATGCATAAATTGACTTAGAATGTTATTCTATACATATTCTCGAAAAGAACCATGTGTCTATCTCATTTCCTTTTGTCTGTTACAAACATATGCACAAAGACATAATACCCTTTACCACAGTGTGGTGAATGGTATAATAAAAAAAAGGCGGATATTGAGATTTACATTCGATAGAAAGGTACTATTAAAGAGATAACATGCATTACCACGATTTGTTTTAAATCTACGCCTTTGAAAAATATTCTTTAAAAAACCTACGCCTTGAAAAAATATTCTTTAAAAAACCTACGCCTCTGGTAGGCCTTGAAAAAATATTCTTTAAAAAACCTACGCCTCTGGTAGGCCTTGAAAAATATTCTTTAAAAAACCTACGCCTCTGGTAGGCCTTGAAAAAATATTCTTTAAAAAACTACGCCTTATGGACACTCGAAAAAAATACTCTTTAAAAAATCTACGCCTTAGTAGCCTCAGGAAAAATACTCTTTAAAAAATCTACGCCTTAGTAGCCTCAGGAAAAATACTCTTTAAAAAATCTACGCCTTCGTATGCCTTAGAAAAATATTCTTTAAAAAACCTACGTCTTGGTATGCCTTGGAAAAATATTCTTTAAAAAACCTACGCCTTGGTATGCCTTGGAAAAATATTCTTTAAAAAATCTACGCCTTGGTATGCCTTGAAAATATATTTTTTAGAAAATCTACGCCTTGGTATGCCTTGCAAAAATACTCTTTAAAAAATCTGCGCCTTGGTATGCCTTGAAAAAATACTCTTTAAAAAATCTACGCCTTGGTAGGCTTTAGAAATATATTCTTTAAAAAATCTACGCCTTGGTATACCTTGGATAAATATTCTTTAAAAAATCTACGCCTTGGTATACCTTGGATAAATATTCTTTAAAAAATCTACGCCTTGGCATGCCTTAGAAAAATATTATTTAAAAAATCTACGCTTTGGTATGCCTTG